TCTCTGCTGGGACACATGTCCCCTGGTCCCTGCTGGGACACATGTCTCCTGGGTCTCCTGGTCCCTGCTGGGACACATGTCCCCTGGTCTCTGCTGGGACACACGTCTCCTGGTCCCTGCTGGGACACATGTCTCCTGGTCTCTGCTGGGACACACGTCTCCTGGTCCCAGCTGGGACACACGTCTCCTGGTCCCTGCTGGGACACACGTCTCCTGGTCCCTGCTGGGACACATGTCTTCAGAAGACCCAGAGACGGTTTAGGGTTCCCAAAGTTGGGGTCGGAACCTCTTTGTGGGTCACAAAACATCAAGTGAGTGTCCCTAGACGATTTTCAGACATCCATTTAAATGCAAAAAGAATAAAAAATGCTAATAGAATATTTTCATCATGATTATTGCAATTTTTTTTAAATAATCATAAATGAAGAAAATTGGTATCATAGTTAATGGGGTTGTTTATTATTCTCATGTTTAACAGAGTTATTAGCTAAGTTTGCATAAATAAACAAGTAATATTTGGGGTCACGAGTGTTTGCAACTGTTATTTTGTGGGTTTGAAAACCACTGGTTTAGACAACTCAACCAAGATTTTGTCCAGCACTAAAGATGAAGATACGCTGAAGATGAACTAAAACAATCTATTGGAAGCCTCTTATGGACTATTCCATACTCAACTAGATCAAATATATAACCTGAGTGAGTCATTTAGTCACAAAACTTTCATAAGTTAGTTTAAGTTCACAGTTTAAATAACAAATCCTATTTTTATTTTACAGAAAAGAGCCGTCTGAATTATTACCAGAAAACATTTCTGTCATCCATCAAATATATTATTTTCTAGATTGAAATTATTAAAATTTTATGAGTTGGTTGATTATTATATCTTGCAGATTATGTATAAGACTCATAATTTTTTTTACCTTTAAACATTCAATTATATTTTGTTAAGAGAGAAAGTTTATATAATCTTAAGGGGCTTGAGATGTTTATAAAACCTAAAATTCGAACAAATTTGAAGGATCGATGTACTTCGGTTCAAGGAATAAGATTGTGGAATAATCTGGAAAGTGATTATAAAAATGTTGGTTCAATGTGTTTAAGAGAATGATTAAAGTGAGTTTGTTAAAGAAATATGAAACTGTATAATGTATATGAAAAGTTGTTTGAAAAGGAATTGAAGTTTTTATTTTTGTTTTGTTTTTTGATTAATATTGTTTGAAATTAATCTTGGAAAAAAGGGGCAGACATTATAAGATTTTTTTCTTCTTTCTGCTTCCGTTCATTTCAAGTGTGATTTTTTTCTTTATTGTGTATAAAATTTTTATTTTTATATGAAATGAATAAATGAATTAAACTTAAACTGAAGTTGTCGTGACTGAATTTTAATGGAGGCCGGGGTGTGACTGGGAT